CATTGAACAGATTCTCTCCCTCTCACAGTATCTATTGTACCTTTCAGATTTTATTTACCCTTTCAGGTTCCCACTCTAGGAGACAACAGGATGTTTGCACATGCAGCTTTGATTTACTTCACTTACCAGTATGGTCTTCAGCTACATCCATTTACCTTTAAAAGCTGCATTTATTTAATGACCAAGAATGTTGAACATTTCTTTGTCTATTTATTCAGCATTTGTACTTCTGAGAAGCGGCTTTTCATGATCCCTGCCCCTTTTTGATTTGGTCTTTTATTTTAGGGGCTCTAGTTTTTTAGTTCCTTATACACCCTAGATAGTAGTAATTTTTCTGAAGACGAGCTGGCAGAAAGCTTTCCTGGCACTGGAGGTTTCCTTTTCACTCTGTTGGTTGTTTCGTTGGTGTGCAGAGGCTTTTCCATTTGCTGTGAGACTCTTTGTTGGTTCTCAGTATCGCTTCCTACGCAACTGGGGCTCTGAGAAGGACTATGACTTCAAGAGTTTCCATGACCCCTGCAGATTTGCACAACAGAATATTAGCCTGTTTCCAGAAGCTCTGCACAGCCTAGTCAAAAATGCTTGAAGACAAATCAGTTCTTCCCAGTCTTTCACACTACCTAACAACAACAAAATAGAAATACCACAGAGAAAAAAAAAATCCTACATCTCATCAGCTGGCAGGGTTGGGCGTTACTACAGCTTATAAAAAATTCTCCCCTGACATTGTTTGACTGTACTAGCTGGTAGGCACTTGCAAATGTGTTGAGAAGGAATAATCCAGTTGGTTCTTTCCCTTCCGTAGCCAAGAATGAATTACTTTATGACAAATGCAACAAGCTGAAAGGAAAATGCAAAAGATCATGCTTAAAGAGTGAGGAAATTGTCGCTTTCTGCCCGAAGTCTCAAAAATGCTGCCTGAAAATTGAGCCCTGTGAGCTGAGTGAAGACAGCTTTGACAGCTAGGGCTTCGGGTGCCAGGGACACGCGGTGGCCTGGAGCTTCTCGGTGCTCTGCGGGAAGCAAGTGCTTCAATAAAAATTGATGACTTTTCAGTGAGTTTGTCCATGCTTTGTTTCAATTGGAAAACAGGTCTGTCGAAACCCGAGAAGCCTCCTTCCTGCTCTATTTTTTTTTTTTTATAATTTTGGGATGACATAACTTTTCCTATGATAACTAACTTTCTCTATAAAGGACTAGAAATAAATTAGGAAAATAATACCATTCGTCATGGCACTAACAAAATTAACTATTAAATATCCAAGGGTCTGCTGTGCGGGACCTGTCCCCGGGCTGTGCTGAGACGGCAACTGAGACCAGGCGTGGTGGCGCAGGCCTGTAATCCCAGCTCTCGGGAGACTGTAAACAGGCGGACCACTACAAGTCCAATCTAGTAGTGAGACCCTGAACACCCTCTAGACCCTTCCCTAAAATACAAAAGATAGATAAATAAATATTTGATAATTAACCAAATTAAAGAAGTGGAAGATTTCTACAATGAAAATCACAGCATTTTGAAGGCGATTGAAGAGAATATCAGAAAATAAAAAGGTGCGCCCCCTGCTCCTGGGACAGCAGACTAAGCCTGAACAGGTCATCCTGCCAAAGTTGGCATGCCGATGCGATACAGCCTGCTCTCAGAAGCATCCAAACTTCCTTATCACCTGAAGCTGTATTCCGGGGATTAATTAATCATGGCTATTTTAAGATTTTTTTCACTTATAGATTTTATTTACCCTGCTATTTTCCTGACAGCTTTTCAAGTGGTTATCTTCAAGGAGATTCACTGAAAATATTCTGAGAAGTATGGATCTCTCTGATAGCCCTTAAGATTATACCATTGAGGGGCTGGTGAGATGGCTC